GACTGTTTGTGACCATTGTTTATGTTATTGTTTATCTTTGTTATACCATCACTTTCATCGATTGTTTGATGTATATTGATGACGATTGTAAAATGGATGGATTTAAAAATATAATAAATAAAAAGTTTTTTAAAAAAACAAACAAACCCATGGGTCCGACAGTCCTCATGAGCACCTTGACTCCACAGCGTCCGTTAGCTGTTGGCTAACTGGCTAAGTGGCTAACTGCTAACCGTCGTTACACTCAGACGGCTCGTTCCTCACCGGCGGCTCAACGTCAGCAAACCACAAACATTACAGCAAAAACATATGACAAAAGTTCTGGACATATACCTTGTTCCGTGCGGATGAAACCCACCGAGCGTATCCGCCTTTCGGTCCTCGGTCTGCGGTCAACAAACGGTTACTGTGGCAACGGCGGGCCGGAGGCGGGCACGTCCGCGGGAGCGCGCAGCTGTCACCCCTTCTATCTGCTTGTACCTGCATCATGTGCAAATACAGGGCAGGTCATACCTGTGGTAGCAGCAAAGGCAAGTCTGTGTGAACTGAGACCAGATAAAGGTTTGCTGCAGGATAGCGGCTGCATAAAGGCCACAGCAGTGATGTTCAGGCTGCATGTGGGAGGTCCTTGTTTAAAAGTTAACATGCAACTAACCTGATTTATTTCTACATAAAATAAAGACAATATCTCTTTTGCAATCATCCTCATGGCTATAATCTTGAAATAGGACCTTCACGAATGAAATCAAGTCGTTGTGATGTTTTAATGACATTTCGGTCATGGAGGTGCTGCGATCACGTTGTGCCAGCTGAAGGACTGCTGTATATGAACTGGTCCTTTAAAGCTGTTTCAACAGGTTAGAAAAAGCTGGATTAGTTATAATGCAGAAAACAGAGCAGGAAAGATAATGCAGAAACTCTGGAGTAATCGCAAAAGAGATGATTTCTTTGTGACTGACCCTGATGAAAGCAGCTGCAGATGAATATTCACAGCACGACCCGCAGACAGCAGTCAGTCTCTGGTACCTCACATCTCAATCAATTAATCAGTACTTCTCCTGCAATGGGAATATAATACACAGTGTTTCACACAGCGAAAGGAATCCACTCATGCCTCCTCGTCTTTTGTTCTGACGATGAGCTTTATGGAAAGGCCAGAAGACACAAGGGTTGTAAAAGGTTCAAATGATCAATAGATCACCTTGGTTAGTCAATAAACCACACAAGAATGAAGTGAGACTTATTTAATATGTGCATCTGCAAAGCTAGAAATCTGTTTGTGTTCTTACAGTACATTTCAATGTTTGTTTTCAGAAAATAAGTCACATTTTAGTTTAAAAAAACAAAAAACTGACATAAAGTGGCTAATAAAACGTCAGACAGCAGCAAGCCAATCCTAACAGCATTCAGTAGAAGACGCCTTCATGTGGCTGACAGCTCAGAGCAGCGATGTTTAAAATGAAGAGGAGGCCGTGAAAATGTTAACAAATCCGGCTAAAGAAGCTCAGGAGTATGCAGCAGCGTAGTACAGTACAGTAAATATAAATCGACAATCATTTCAAAGGCACTTGCTGAATCCACGTAGCTCAATAAAAACAACATATTTATATACTTTCGCATTACACGCTAATAACATGACAACCTATAAATACGTATGCATTAACAATAAACAGTGCAATATATCTGTAAGTTCTCCACTTCACTGTGATGCCTCCGTCAGCATTAACAGGAATGATTAACATGTTTTTAAACTGCAGGGATCCAGTGGGCTACAGAGACAGGAAGCTGAGCGGGAGCCACAGAGAAGCTAAGCTATAAGACTGCTGCTTTCAAGTCCTCCAGGAACAACTGAAGTCAACTAAAATACTGGGAGGAGAAGATGTGAACCGCAAAACGTTCTCTCATCTTCCTACAGCGGTCCATTCATAACACTAGTGCGTTACTCTGAGAGCCGTGTGAATCATTTAAATAACATACAGGACGTTAAAAACCATGAACAGATCCACTACTACAGCAATGCTTCTACAACAGTACACAGACTAAGATCCGTCCCTCAGAGCTGATGGACTCCTCACATCTTTCTAAATGAACAACTCCTACTAACAGCAGGGTATTTGAAAGAGGGGAAAAGAAGAAGCACAGAATAACATTTTGTTCTGTTTTTAGGAATAAACTTGAACCAATGCTGGTCAAAACAAAACCTAAGATGTCCTTAACCTTTCCCTAAGTTCTGCCCTATTTGATCTTTTATCCTCTCCACTCACAGCGCTGGTAAGTTTTACTTCTTATTGACTCATTCCACGTTAACTGAAGCTACTGACTAACACAGTCTGAGACGACATGAGTCACATGCACAGCGACTAAATGATCCTTTCAGGTGGAGCTTCTATTTTGACTGTTTAATTATCCCATTTACTTTTAAAACTTGAAGTTGGACTAACATGAAAACATGGACAATATAGCTAATAATAATAATAATAATAATAATAAAGACATTTTCTGGTTAAGCTCCTGCTCCAGCATTATATTTGCTTTGCCATGAAAATGCATGTTGGTGATGTGCAACCCCAGACTGGCATCAACGATACCAATCCCTCCACATCGGCTGGGAAAGCCACGGACCTGATTGCTCATCATCTTCCACTGCATTCTCTATGAACAAGCTGGTGTGATCAGGGTGCCTTGTAAACGAAAACAGCCGGTGAGCTTTGTCCCTTTTCCTTTTGTAACTGTAGCAGACAAGTGAAGTTTGACTGGAGTGTTTCCACCAAATATTCAACTCTAAACATTTCCTTCATTCCTGCATCCTCACATAATGCAGCACAGACCTCCAACACACTTTACCTCGCGCTCTTCAACACAACCTGCTCGTTAATAATCAACTTCATACTACATCATAAAGCAATCTTATGGACAGTACAATAAAACCTTTCTTTCTGCATATAAAGCCCATTTAAATCTAAACTACCATCCTAACCTTCCCACAGCCTTTTTCACAGGGACATGTCTACCTCATAGAAGTCAACATATCCACTGTGAAAAAGGCCAGTTCTCAGTGTTTAAGTTAGTCGATGAAGGATTGTTCAGATTTGCTGCCTTGAGTTCTATCAAACCTTCTCCCTAGTTCATATGAGGACAGAGAATGTGAGCCTAGAAACCCGTCATTAAAGAAGAAAGTGTGCACCGACTGCAGAGGCCACAGCGGTGGCGCTAGAGGCCAGCGGGGTTGTGCAACAGTAGGAACCGGCAGCGTCTCTAATCTGCTCTTTCAGCAGCAGGTTAAGAAACACCTACGAAAACCCAAGTATCTGTTCAGGCGATCTGGACTCAAATGGATCCATCTCGACACCGTACCGCTCAGATGACCGGTCACTACCAAAACTCTTCATCTGCTACAGTTTTGTCAAGTCCATTGATCCTCTCAGGCAGCACACCTTCCTCAACAGCTACCTTTGACTCCAGGACCTGAAGGACAGAGCAGCAGGTTACACTGGTGGTCACTTACAGATTGAAGAACTTTCTGCACAAATTAAATGAGAATTATAGAAAAAAAGTGATCATGTTCTGTTGATTACTGACCTGGAATGGTTCACTAATTCCAATGATGCACTGCAGCGTGTTGCTGTAGTAGCACAGCACGCACTCTCCTCCTCGCACAGGGATTTCCTCCTTACTCACATAAACCTACAAAACAAGACAGAGCTACATCATTTGTCGGTTTCAGCTGATGTGACAAAATTGCAGTCCAGCTGATTAGGACTTCAGGTACTACCTGTATGACTTCCTCATTGAAGGCCACCTCATCATCTTTGACCCACGTGTAGGTGATGTAGTCTGACACACTGCTGAATCCAACCTGAAATTCATACAAACATTAAAGCTCTCAAACTGAAGCAGACCATTTCCAGTGCCAGCGGTAAACAGATGCTGCTGAGCCAACCTTGTAGAGTCCGATCCAGTCCCAGGTACTGGAGGGGAACGGCTGCAAAGGGCTGTACACAACCATTGCATCGATATCTGCGCTCCAGTCGCCCTCCGCCTGCAGACGCACCAGTGGAGTCTTGCACATCTTCCTCAGCTGGACACACAGAAATCAGCCTCATAATTAAATCCACTTGACCTCCGAGTGTGAATACTTAAACAGGACAGTACATTTGAAAAGATCCAGTAAAACAGAGGAGTGGTCAAACTTAGCTGCACAGTAAAATCATCTTTCCAAATGTCGGCTGCAACGTCAGTCGGTTTGATTTCCCTGCTTTGCTTTGACTTGCAGCTCTGATCTCACCTGAGCAGCGAGGGATGGTTCTCTGTGTTCACGTGTCCTCGCTCTAACCTCCACCTCCACATGAAGCCATCTGAACTCATGGTGTTGTAAACATGAGGTCTGATCGTCTAATTGGGTTTCTTGCTCTGCCTTTGTTACATATTTAACGTGACACATTCAGGATTTTGGGGGTCGATGCTGATGTTGAAACTTGTGAGTTTTAAATAAATCCAATAATACATCAGCAGAAAGTACTTTTTACCATAAACTTGCATCATATGAACAACCTATACACATATCTCATTTATATGTCAGTGCCCTCTGGTTGACAGTCTTTGTCATGGGAACACTTGTCCTTTCGTTTTGTATTTCTGTACCACAACTTCTTGTTTTATGTGGACCAGTCCAGTGTAGCTGCTGAATGCCGCCAGCTGTCTCCTTTTCCTTCTGCTATCTGCATGTTAACATTTTCAAAATGCCCTTGCTACAGGAGACAACAACAACCTTCACTGAACATTTTAAGTTGTACCGAGCATTTGGAAAGTGCAGGAAGGCAGCAGTGCTCGGTGTTTCTGGTGGATTATCCATTTTATTCACAGTGCTGGACTCCCTACAGGATGGGCTAACGAAGTCAGACTAACTGCTTCAGGAATTACTTTGGTCAGTACAATATTATCATAACCATGACAAACACAGTGCATATGGCTCCTGCTCCTCCTACATCTGATTTCTGACACCAGTGCTTCTCTCTAGATTAAATGACGATGATGAGTAGGATGCTGATGTGCGTGAAGGAAGAGGACAATATCCAAGAACATATTATCCACATTTCCATCGTGCTTTGACATGTTTATATATGTCTGAGATTTTTATTATCAAAGTAATAACTAACGTCACTGTAGCCTTCGCTCCTAATGTGCAAGACACGCTTGATGCTATTTAACAGCATTAAGACATCAGTTTTTAGAAAGACTACTGTCAGGCATTCCAGATGTGTCTCGTAAATCTTAGAATCAGAACATGTGTTCAAAGTTGATTGATGCACTGAAGGTGGAGGAGTGAAGCTCATGTTGGTTGGGTTTGTCTGACCGGACATGAAACATTGACAGCAGAGATAGAGTCTCTGTTCTGTCTTCTGTATGAGCTACATGGCAGCTGACCTAAACAACCACCACCTGAGCAGTGTGGGACACAAACGTTCCCCTCATAACGTGCTTTGGTTGTCAGAGTCCCACAATAGAAGCTGCATCCATCCAGCAGCCAATTCTGGCTGAAGACTGCTTGAACACTGATCGTTCTGCTGTTTGCAGCCCACTCAGAGCTCTGATGGACCACTGAGCTGCATGCCCTTCAGTGACCTGCATGATGGACCCCTCCTCAGTACCAGGTTACAACTGTGAACCACACATTCATCCTGCTGAAGACTCGATTCCATTGCTCCTGTCCATGTGACACGATCATGGACAGTTCAGAAGCCTTCTCAAAATTATCATTAAGTTTTGTATTTTTCTTGGTTTAATCCATTTTCTACTTCTTATGACCTGTATGTGATAAATGTATTTGTAAATACATGTCAATATAGCTGAATGTCCTGAAGTTACCAAAAACGAGAAGAGCAACTTAGCATGAATCCCATGTTTGCTGAGTTTTGTTGTTGTAGATAAATCCAATGACGAGACCAAACCAGCAGCAGCAGGTTAGTCTGTCTACAGATACTTTCCAGCTTTCCCAGGCTGCCTCTGGCTCTCAGTTCCACCATATTCATTCCTACTCAGGAAAATCATTAAAAACGGGTCACAAATATTTTTTGAAATTAAAAAAAAAGGTTCAGCAACACCCCAATTTTTGCCCCCATATGAACACAAATGTTGATTAAGCCCATAATAAATACACATCTTAAAGTGATGGTGCAGCCAGAGCAATCGCTCACTGCATTTGGACTCTCAGTGTTCCAGTTTCTCACCTCCAGTGTGAAGACACCAATGACAGGCTTGTGGTCACTGATGCTGTACTGCATGTTGCTGGTGTACAAGTCCTGCCTGATCTTCAGCGGGTACTCCTCATCCTCTTCCAGCTGCTTCAGCATCTTCGCATCCAGTCCGCTCTTGTTTTCATCCTGCCCGTCAGGGAGCGAGACTTTGGGTCGGAGTCGCCACAGAATCCTGTCGGTCCAGGCAGGTTTACGCTTCTTACCGCTGAGCAGGCAGTTACGGATGATGGATGGACAGAGAGCAGAGAGGCCGGGGTTAGCTGGGAGACAAGGTCACCTCTGTAGAGCAACAATCAGGGTAGGTATGAAGCACGTGACTGGGTGATGGACGAGACAGGAGGGGATAGACGTAAATGTTAAACTATGTAATGTTGAGACAGGAACTGCGGTACATTAAATACCAGGTAAGGTGCACAGATACACAGACGGAGGAAAAGATGTCAAACAAATTACAGTCTCAGTGTCAAAAGAGCCTAAATAATGGAGGGACCTGTCAGCATTCTGCAAGTAGTAAAACATTACCACGCCAAGTAACACTGACGTTTCCTAAGATGATTGATAGTTAGCCTTTTTAATTACGTTTTTTACGTCCTACCACAACTGATGAAAGGGCACCTGCAGGAGAGGAAACGTTTCAGAGCTACAGAGGACACACGTCTATGTCACGGTAACCTGTATCACTGAAGACGCTAAACAGTGGTAGGTTCAGTTTTTGTCTTCAAATATTTGACTAAATTCAAGAGAAATGTGTGATATAACACTTCTGAAAACGCATTTCCTAGTCCATCTGGACACATGCTGTTTATTTGCCATTATCCAATCAGTCAATCATGTGGAGGCAGTTTCAAACCCTGACCCGGGTCAGCTTCAGGAGCTTTAGCTTATGTTCATGTCAAACACCAGTTTCATTTTCATCAGAAGTCAAACTAAATATTCAGCTTCTCCTGCCTCCATCTCCCACGTTCCACTCCAGAGGCCGCCTGCTAACCATCACCACTGCTTACAGCAAAACTCTTCTCTTTCCTTAAAAGGCCACACGTGGATATTTTTCAAGGCCATGGCTGTTTTGCAGGGTTGGGTTTGAACGAGTGATGCACGATATTAAAATTTCTGGCCGATGCCGATATCTGATAAGATTTCTGATATCGTCGATAACCGATATCACCGATGTTGATGTTAAGTTTTTGTTTACACCGAAAAATGAGCTGAAATAAGAACTGTGAGAAAACTATTCAAAAGAAGCCCAGTTAGACCACATAGAGTTCTTTATTACGTAACAAAAGTAAAACATATTTAAGTCCAGGACCATTTAGGTAAAAAAATCTGTGAAACAGCAGCGATATCAAACGTAGAGACGAAGGCGCTGATGTTGGACAGTCATCGGCTAAATCTGTTCATCGGACCGGTACCGATGTGGTCGCTGACATATCCTGCATCCCTAGTTTGAACACTTTAAATAAAACTTAGTTTCGAAAAGGAATCAAAACTTCCTTCCAAACCAACCAGACAGTCGCTGCATTCAGCCAGAAACCTCCATCATTAGCGTGTCTGGGTGAGATCCAGTTGTAATCCAACACACATACTGAATTATCAACTGTCATAGCGTCTGAATTGCCAAGACATCTATTTCTGCTCATGCATGTTAGATATGATGTCGCAGCTGTTCAGGGTCCAGAGAGGTTCACACACTGGTGTTGGTATAAACAAGCTCTTAAAGCAGCAGGATGGAACTAAACAGTGGGTTAAATGTGGGCTCCCTGTACATGTTGCTATTTAAAGGCACCCTGTGGAGCTGTTTTGCAAACATGTTTCTCAAAAAACACCTTAAGTGTGCATCACTGAAGCTAAAACGAATGTGCTAAAAGTTTTGTTTTTAGGACATATTCCTAAGCAGACTTGAATGTTTAAAATTTGCACAGCTTATGCCAGTTAGAGGTCTTGTTATTTGCTGCCTTTTCCTGCCACAGGGCTGCGTTTCTTGTAGCATTACTGCCTGCAACTGTTATTCAGCATCAGAACGGCATGAAACCGGCAGCAGGAATGTGTACTGTCATACGGCGTCAACTAAAATGGGATCCCTTCATAAAAACTTAGCTCCACAGTGCCGGTAGTGGTCAGAAATCCACAGGGTGCCTTCAACAGAAACAGGATTGTGAGGTCAGACAAGAAGCTGTAACGTTAACAAGCATTTCAGTCTTTTCAACGACAACCCGTGTTTGTCCTGCCAAGACTGGAACTTCTCTCTGCTTGCTGATGCAGTTTGCAGCAAGTTACAGATGGTCTTCCTTTAGTGTTCAAAAACACACTTACTGCATAACAAGGACGGCACTACTTTTACCGGCGTGTTAAAAGTAGCGTATGCAGATACTGAAGTACAGTTAGGTGACATAAATACAGGGTCACTAAATATATTAAGGGAGATGTGGACACTTATGTACTTTGAATTCTTACTTAAAGCCAAACCATGTCTTGTAGAGCCTGTGGAGTTGAACAGAGGCGTAGATAAAATATACACAAAGTACTGCAAACAGAAATGTGATTGGATAGTGTGCTTATGACTAATTATGATTATGACAATGGTTTCTTATATGTTCACTGGAAACAGGTACCTGCTGTCATAGGTATCAGAGTTCAAGTCAAACTTGTACGTGGGCTGAAAGTCCAGAGGTCCTTCTTCAAACTCCTGCAGCACCTGCTCTTTCTTCTTCATCATGGTCAGCTGCAAACAGCAACACACACATTTCAGGACCTCGCAAACTCACGGAAACTAGTTCATCAGATCATTTAGGCGTTGTGGATGCTTGTGATTTTCACATGAATCGAAGCTGAATGACATCTAAAAGGTCAAACCTGGTCTTTGCTCCACAGCAGGTTGTAGGTCTGGTTGTTGATACAGGAGCGGACGAAGTGCATGCCGTGGTCCTCAATGCGGAAGTTGAGATCTCCAAACCAGAACACCAGCCTGGGTCAGGAAGAGAGAGGAGGGATGGAGGACAGAAGAAATGAGAAAGTTGGGATGGTACTATGGGATGAATGAAGCTTCAGCATCTACTTTAAGATCTGTCACTCATATACTACCAACATTTGGGTAGACATCTTCTCACCTGTGGTCAACAATCTGTGGAGCCTTTTTACAGTCAAATGTCTGCGTGGCCATGATGTACTCAAACTCATCCACTCTCTCTGACGCGTACTTCATATGAGCAGCCAGGTGGCAGTTGAGAAAGCAGAGCATGTGGCCGTAGAAGGACAGGCTGATGGACACACCGCCCTTGTTACCCTGAGAGACAAACAGTCAGAAATGAGAAACAGTCACTCCACCATCTACTCAGCCACACATTTACTTCTGCTTCTGTATCTGACAGATGACACACACCCAGTAGGATGGGGTTTGACGCTGTTTAAACACACACTTCATTAACTCCTTATTTAAATGGGAAGTATGCCAGTTCAACACATCGTGGTGTGTTTACACGTGTTGGAGAGCATGACTACACTTTCTCTTCTTCTTCATAAGTGAAACAGAAAATGAGTTTGAAGCCTTCGTAGTTTCAGATGGAACGTTGTAAAATCTGATTATCAGCCTTCAGTATGTCAGCTGGGTCAGCATCATTTGGGCCTGAACACTTCAAATCTGAAAACTAAATAATCGGATGGTGTGAAGTTAGAACGGAGTGACCTTGGCAGTCCCTCTAACAAAGATATTCTGGACTGGTCCAAAGCGTTAGACCTGAATTAATGTTGCTCTTAAGTTGGTTTAATGCATGTGAGTAAATGTAGGTTTCACACATGTAAACACGGACTTACTTCAGGTCTAAAACATGAGCCACCTTACACCCAGGCCGACAGAGAACTAATGTTTCCATGGTGACGATCAGTGACACCCGTTAGCTTCTGGTACCAAACACCACAGAAAGAGGAAACTGCACCTCAGAATCTATGGTGAGTCTGCAGTGATGAGGACCAACACCCGAGAAACCAAAGAGTTGGAAATATGTTTTCATGTGCATGACTGCTAAGTTTAGCAGAAGTAGTGAGACTTGCAGCTTTAAAAGGAGAATCACGGCTTATTTCAACCTGCCGTATCTGCCAATGATTTGGTGACTGCGGCTCTATGAATCACATTAACTTTGTCCTCTGCACCGCCACAGCACAGCGTGACTGGTGTTTATCTGGGCCGCTCACATGAGCTCGCTGCACACTTAGTTTTTACAACCACTTTGCTTCATGTGTTGAGGATCTCCACCCAGGACTATTATAGGTTTACTTAATCACCATGAGAGTAATCCCAGCTTTGGAACTACAAATAATGAATCTGCAGCGCGGATAAACGTGGTGTGTTTCCTCCCACAAAATCAACTGGAGGACAAGTCAGAGCGCATCCCACCTAAACGCTCAGCTCTGCACACAGTGAGTGAAACTGCATGGTTACTATCTCGTCATCTTCATATCAGCAACCCAGAAATGTTTACTGCTACTGCTCCAGTGTGAACACATGCCAGACGGAAAGCTATCCACAGCCTGACACATGTAAACAACTTGACAAGCACGGAGGAATACATCTACGATTAGGTCAGCTGGTAAATATCCAGGATGGAGATCCCGAATGCACTTTGTCAAATGTGTGTCCAAGGTGATTAACTTCTGTGTTTATGTTCAGTCAGACTCAGAAACAAATGTTTGAAATGATTCATGTAGAAGTCCAAAGCAGAGCGCCAACGTTAAACCAACAAACATGCTCACAACCTGTTTTTGTGTGACTTCTTGTTTTGCTAAATCCTTACAACAGAGGCAAAGAGTCAGAAGTGACCCAAACAGCCATAATCGCATTAAGAGAAATACGACAGGTTGAAATAAACTGGAGTTCTTCTTTAAGATGCCACAACATCCTCACCCTGCACTGTGCGGAGAGTCTACGATGCAGGAGGTTCCCTTTGACGTATTTTTCTGCAAATGTTTTCTTTGAAAAGGTTTTCTTGTAGATTGAACAGAGCTAAGAGTCATGCTGGTTTGGTCAGCCATGTCTGTTTTAATCACAAAAAAATTAATCATTTAGTAAAAATTTGTACAAGAATTTCTGATCAGAATATGTTTTGGTCAGCGTGACGTCTCCTGGATGTCTGAGCTTCACTGTACAGAACAATTCATGACACAGGAGACTTTTGAAAAATTCATCTACGAAAAGAAAAATTATTTTCTGACTTGATTTAAAATGTGAGTTTAGGGCATGTATCTTCAGCCACAGTTTGTGACATCATGATTAGTTGTTATTAGTTTAGAGCTAATGAACAAGTGTGAAATGGAAACGTGAAACCTGCATTGCTTATACTGTGAGAACGGACCTTCAGGAGACAATTCAAGACATTCCAACCAGGTAATTAATTTTTTTATAATTTAACATAATTATTATTCAAAGCATATTGTTAATTATTGCTGTACATCTTTATAGACATCTGCAGGGACTCTTCAACATACTGGAGAGCCCCAGTTTGTACTGGAATAATAGTTAGACGTGAGTAATACCGTAATGTCTGGACTATAAGCCGCTACTGTGAGGCTGAGAGCGACGACGACAGAGAGACTGAGGAAGTGATGAAGTGATTCTGAGGCTGTTCAGCTCCTGAAGACACTGAAGAAGACGACTTTAGTGGTTTTAGTGCAGGAGGAAGATGAAGACAGCCATCAGTGACTTTTCCTGGTAGCTGCTGGAGTTTTATTTCCTTAACCAGCCGTGTTACAGGAAGTGTTCAGAAAAAAGCCTCTACGGTACGTATCTGTGGATGTTACCGCTACGCATTTAATTAAAGGTTAAAACATCTTTCTGTGTAAATATCTCATGTTCCAACGTGGACACCTGCAGCCTGGATATTAACACACCTGGTTTTCTTTTTAAAATCAGTGGGTGGGGCTTATATTCAGGTGCCTCTATAGTCTGAAAATTACAGTACACAGCATTTATCATTATGAAACTGACACCTCATATCTGCTTTAGGATAGACTCAAGATCACATGTCCTCTACTAGCACTTCTAGTGTAACAAAAACAGCCGGACTCATTGGCTGAAGTGCACTGGGGGGAATGTAGGCACGAGACAGATAGAAGACAAAAAGTGCTTAAACAAAAAGTACAATATTTTGGCATTGTTTCAGTGCATTGGTTACTCTTTTATTATACGTGTGTGTGTGTGTGTGTGTGTGTGTGTGTGTGTGCACATCTGCAGTACTCACCCAGTAACCCATAATGCCCGTGCGGGTGTACGTAGCCTGGATGTCTTTGATGAAGGGGACGTGGTCCACTTTAGAGAAGAAGAGCAGCAGCAGACCCTGCATCCTAATGGATGACACCTGAAACACACACAGTAGAATGTATGAAAGGTATGACATTTAATAGATCAGCTTTCATTTACTTATGATAGCAATCCTCAGCTGCATTGTGTGTGTGTGCATATGTGTGCGAGTGCGTTCAGAAGATCTATACCTTGACATAATTCTGCGGCGCTAGGATGGACATAAGCAGCTGACTCCACGGATCATCGAACACGACGTCCGACATGAATCTCAAAGGCCCTGAGTATACTTCCTGCAGACTAACACACACACACAGAGTTGTGATAGTCAGTCTCCTTTATAGCCAGTCCTATAAACAAAGTCCCACATTCTCTGCACCACCTACCCAATGACATAAAGGTCTGGCCTCTTTGGAGAGTTCAGGTGGAGAAGTGAGGTGACGTCATCTGGAGGGTCGGCGGTGGCCACGTTCCACGTCACCATGTGCAGCCTGTGGATATAAAAAATTAGTCACTTGCACAGCGTCATAAAAACACATATATTGCATTATTAACAGGCTGGCAATCGATCAGCGATCTGCAGTCGTCCTCAGATGCATTCATATTCTCCCATTAAAGATGGAAACAAACAGCTGGAATAAGCTGAAATTGAATTGAAATTTTTTTAAATGAACATCATGACGTTGCTTTGAATCGTGGTTCAACAGAAATATTTACAAAAATCAATCAATCAAACCAACATGATGGGACCCTGAACTAACATGTAGCTGAACAGCCCTCTGAGCCAATCACTGCCATCAGGTGTTTCCTGTAACTCTCAGTCAGACTTGTGCACCTGTTGACAGGTGTTCTGGACCACTGCTCATCAGCAAAGGCCTCTCATTGGTCCACTGCTCATCAGCAAAGGCCTCTCATTGGTCCGGGACAGTTTTGTTTGTTTTTTTAATTATTCTTTTCAACCACAATTCAAAATCAACGTCTTATTTCACTAAAGTATAATTTAACAAATTTGTTTTTATGACTTTTTTCTGTCTCTAGTTATTTGAGTGACTGTTGTGCATTTTGCCTTTTCTTCAATGGAAGTGGATGAAGACATCTGAGGACGGCTGTATTAGATACGACACTGGCCCTTTAAAATCCACAGGATCATCCTACGACGGTTCAACTTCCAGCAGCACCACACTGCAAATTAAAGAATTACACACTTTGAACTTTACAATCAAAGAGGTCCTTTAGCGAAACCAAAGATGAACCCATCATGTGAGTGTAAGAGCTGTACAGTATAATCACTGTAAGAGTACCACAAGCAGCTTCACGGTAAAATAACGAGACCAGTCACTACTTCACTCAAACAGCCGTAAGACAAGACCTTCTGCGCTCAGCCTGTACAGTATAAACCATGATAAGAGGACTAAGTTCTGCTGGAAGGTTTCAATTAGCAAACAACAAGAGTGTCCTTTGTTGGCCAGTGATGAGGCAGGTCACTGAACTCAGAGGAGACAAATCCATGAAGGAAATAGAGTAACGCTGGTTCTGTACAAAACGCACAGCTTCAGCACAAGAACAGGGCAGTGAGGAGGCAGCATCCACCTGAAACTGTCCTTTTTCGGCTTGTTGGCTCTCTTGCCACAGACGAGAAAGGCGTTATCCAGGGTCTTGATCACTTTCTCGTGAAGCTCGTTTTTGGCGTCCAAGTCGTCCACGCAGGTCATCAGCTGGTTGAGCCGATGGCGTAAAACCAGTTTGCTGCCAGTTGACTGCGTGGCATCGCTGGCGTTGCTGTCGCTGCGAACGCGGCCCATGCTGCCAAACAGCCGGCTGATTTCATCCATTCTGGCTCAAAGCGTGACGTGTACAGCAACGTGTTGAAGGTACACAAAAGCACTAAGTATTTGCTAAAGGATCAAAAATTGTGGGCCGTGTAGCACAAAAAACGATCTAAAATACGACCATTTAAAAAAGGAATGACTGGAGGAACAGTTCCTGCTTCTGCAGAATCAAAGCACGGAGTGAAGTGAGCAAAGTCCCAGTTCAAGGATTTGGGCGCTCCAGAGTTGGACGGGGTGATTAGGAAACTGGTTCAGTTGTCTACAAGTCGTCTTTGTGTACTAAAAACTGCTTCTAATCTCATTGTAACGTGTCTCAACATTAGGCCTATTAAAATTGAGAAACCAACTTGCATGCATGAATGTAAAAACTTCTTTTCCCCGTTCAAGCTGCTGAGCGCCCAGAGCAGGGCGGCAACACGTAGTTTATTTCTCCATATCCGCATTAGGTTCGTATTGTTGGGCAACCTAATCCAGCTGCCAGAATGCAGTCCGATTTGTAGACTGGCAAACACTGCATTGTGTTTAGTCCTGGACCCTTGAACCCTAAATTAGACAGAGAATTGGACTTCTGGTTCCAGCATCAGACAACCAGTCAACTATTCATCACAAACCAGTAGTTAGGTGAAATAATAGAAATATTCTGCAGCTGGAAACGTAAATATCACAAACAAAAGGCACGACGAATGAGGTGGAGAGGAATAATGTGGCCATTGTAAAGCCTGTCTGTTGAGTAATTTTTCTGTCAAACTTGAACAATGTCATCGTTGTCTAACGAAGGCAACGCTAACGGGCGACAACCATAACACAATCTAGTGCCCATGAAGACATATCTGTGGCTCTTTCCTGAAACTGAAGAGTAATTAAATTAAATCCACATATAAATACAGATGAGGAGTCGTGCTCTGAAGTCTGTGAACATTAAATAAAACGGACTCAGGCAGCATTGAAAAGCAACAGGAAATGTTCAGGGAAAGCTACAGCAGAGGAGGTTGTAGACACTGATCCTGGGCTGGCAACAGGAACAGTTCAGGGAAGATGTTAAAATAATTTGACAAAACATGTAATTTCTTCCTCTACACTCGCTTACTTTCACACACTACAATAGAGGGTGAGTGTGTGAACATAGTGCGTTAACGGGTTTGTGCGTTTGCCAACAAGCAGTGGCTTCGTTGGGCTGGAACCTTTGACCTTTACTAAGGCAAAAATAGAATTTAATTTTTTTAAAAACAAACATGTCTGGATCTGTTTATCTGTCCAATCATACGCTAAACGCATCGTAAATAGTAATAAGACACAGTGGATTAAAGATTTGGGGATAGTGTTCATAAAAGCTGCTTATCTAAGTCAAAACTATGATTCCGTCACATGAACAGGATGTCTGCAGCAGTTATTGTGTATTGATGCTTCCCATAACTACTTACAGTTTATATTCGCTCTAATCCTCAAAGCAACTGACAGAATATGGCAGCACGTAGCCGAGCAGCAATCAAAACACATTTTATTATTTCATTGTGAGTCGCTGTAGCCAGAAAAGCTATAATTAAGCTACAGGCAGAGTTTTTATTGTTTTTTTTTTGTGACAGGCAGCAGATTTGGTCTGGAGAGCAGTTATGGGTGAACTTTGTCTCCTCACCAGCTTACACATCCTGGACTACTGAGAGGGTTGGTCACTCAAATTACTGTTGAATAAAACTTGTGAAAACAAGTACGTCTAATGTAATTACAGCTGCAAACCTTTAAAAATAAGACTATTTCCAGATCAGATAGTCAGAGAACCACTGGACAGCACTCACTGTGATCAGAATGTGGGCAAAGCACAGTCAGATAGTGGCATGATCTTAGTTTGCGTCTCACATTTTATATTCATGTGACGCTGACATACAGTCGTCCTCACATGTGTTCATAGCCTCCCATGAAAGAGGGAAAATACCAGCTGTCACTGAAATAAGCTGACAAAAGTAATAACAAATGAAAATGTAATGAAAATCATGACGTTGCTTTTGAATTGTGGTTCAACAGAAATATTAAAATAAATAAAAATAAGCAAACCAGCACGATGGGACCCGTAAACTACTATCTACCTGAACAACCCTCTGAGCCAATCACCGCCATCAGGTGCTTCCTGTAACTGTCAGACTTCTGCACCTGTTGACAGGTGTTTAGATTGTTTTGTTTTTTTATTCTTTTCAACCACAATTCAACAGCAACGTCTTATTTCACTAAATTCCAATTTAGCTTTTTTTTAAAAAATGTATTATTACTTTTTTCAGTTTCTAGTTATTTGAGTGACTGTTGTGAGTTTTGCCTTTTCTTTAATATAAGGGGATGAAGACATCTGTGATCCCAACAACGCCTCTGCATGGACAAGCATGGATGAGGGGGAAAGTCCAACCTGAAGCTTTCTCCCTCGTTGATTCCCTTCTTCAAGCTGAGGGCTGACAGCTGGACGTCCAGCTGCTCCTCGTTCTCCTCCATCATGTGCACACCTGGAGGCAGAGTCACTGTCACTACCTGAAGCTGGACTACGTCAGAAGGCAGGTTAATGCCGCAGTAAAGCCCTTTCGTGGCACCGTAACACTGTTAGCTAACGCTGTTTATCCACCAGCTTAAGTCTGTGCTTGGGTGGAAGTCAGAAGCTTAACTGCGCAGACTGTCTGACATTTCTAATCAGCGTCCTGTCCGGCTGGCTGATGCCAGGCTGCTGCTAGCATTAATCCACGTCCATCTTGTAAAGTAAACACCGAACGGTAGCTACATGCGAAGCTAGCTAAACCAGCTTCCTTCTTTTCTGTAGTAAACACGGAACACTCGGAGTAACAAGAAGTGAACGTGGACGTGTTTGTATAGAATACTACCTGGCAGGCTTCCGTACTACTTGTTTTCGTAGTTGTGTGTACTTCCAGGGAGGTACAGTAAGCAGCAGCCCGCGGCTCCACAGCGGCTACGGTTGTTGTTGTTCCCGCCCCTTACCCGGACACTGCCGCCTTCAAAATAAGAGCGCAACCGACGGCATACAAGTCAGTTGGTGCAATAATTCACCACAAATACACAGTTTATCTGCACATCAGTACACCTGGCGGCCATCGATATGCTTTTAAAATAACTACAAGTAAGCTCAATGCATTTTCAGCAATTTCATATTAAACACTGTAGTCTTATAATCACACTTTTAGAGTTTAGACGTGATCTAAACCCTTAGTTTGTAACGCAGCGACAGAGAAGTGGTACTGAAAGCACAAAACAGAAATTAAAAATAGTGTTCTGACTGAGACCGAGTGTGATTTATGTCAGATTCAGCGTTTTTAGGAGTTATCGCTTGTGGCGGTGCTTTTATTCTGAAGGGTTCTAACTCGTAGTTTTACAAACAGGCGTCCTCAGATCTATTCATCTCCTTCCGTTAAATAAAAGGCAAAATTCACAAGTCATTCAAATAACTACAAACTGATTAAAGTGAGAACAAATTTTTAAAAATTACTATATTATAATTTAGTGAAATAAGACGTTGATTTTGAATCGTGGTTGAAAAGAGTAATTAAAACCTAAA